TAGGGCTTCACTCACCGGTGCCGCCGTTGGTGTCGGGTCAAGTTAGAGCTGCTGGAGAAGCTCTTCCCACACTGGGGACACTCGTAGGGCCTCTCCCTGGTGTGGATGCGCCGGTGTCTGACGAGGGTGGAGTTGTACTTGAATCCCTTACCACAGTCGGGGCAGCGGAAGGGCCTCTCCTCTGAGTGAATCCGATAGTGCACGAGGAGATCGCGACTGGTCCGAAACCTCTTTCTGCATTTATCACACTCGTAGGGCCTCTCCCCAGTGTGGATGCGCCGGTGGGTGACGAGGGTGCAGTTGTGCTTGAATCCCTTCCCGCAGTCGGGGCATTGGAACGGCCTCTCCTCTCTGTGAATCCAATAGTGCTTAAAGAGATCAGACCTGCTCTGAAACGCCTTCCCACACTTGGAACACTTGTAGGGCCTCTCCCCAGTGTGAGTCTTCTGGTGTCTGATCAGGTGGGAGCTGATGCTGAAGCTCTTCCCACACTCCCCACACTCATAGGGCCTCTCCCCAGTGTGGGTCCTCTGGTGCCTGATCAGTTCGCATTTCCACCTGAAGCTCTTCCCACACTCCCCGCACGTGTGGGGCTTCTCCCCATCACGGAGCTGCTCACGGAGCACCAGCTCCGAGCTCTGGCTCCATCTCCGGCCGCCTTCCCGGCCCAGGCCGCCTCTTTCCCCCTCACATCCCCGCCAGCTGCCTTTGCAGCCCCTCCTCGTGCGGCATCTCCGCGCCTTTTCCTCCCCGTTGCCTTCCTGCGCCGTGGAGCCGCTCAAAACGGCCTCTTCCACCAGCTCCTGCCGCGGGCATTTCTCCTCCCTGCTCTCCATGCTCAGCTCCTGCTCTGGGCGAGGAAGGACAAGGACACCATGCGATTTGCCTCCGTGCCACAGCCGAGGGCAACGACATCCCCCCGGGGCGTCCCCGGCAGGACGGCACCGCCACCCCCCGATGTCCCCCCGAGGGGCCTTTTCCGCTCAGCCTTGGACTTCTTCATTCTCCAAACATCCCCCCAGAAACCCAACCCAGGGGCTGCCGGGGATATCAGGGCCGGGCTCTCCGTCCCTGCTCACGTGCGCGATGCGGGGGGCGATGATCCCACAGGTGGGAGTGCGAATTCAGGCTGGTCGACCGCGTGGATCCGTCCGCTCAGCCTTGATCCGCCTTTGTCCCTCCTCTTCCTCTTCCTCCCGCTCCTCCTCTGCCATCCCCCCCTCCCGCTCCTCAGCGTTGTCTCCCCATCCTTCTCCTCTTCCATCCCGCCCCTTCCATCCCTTCTCCTCCTGCTCCCTAACCCCACCTCCTTCGACTCCTTCCATCGCTGCTCTCTCCGCCTTCATCCCTCCCCTTCCATCTCCACTACCCCTGTTCCTCTCCCCTAACCGGCTGGAACCGTGAGGGGAAAGGGGGCAGGGAAAGGGCGGAACCGTGAGGGGAAAGGGGGCAGGGAAAGGGCGGGAACCGTGAGGGGAAAGGGGGCAGGGAAATGGCGGAACCGTGAGGGGAAAGGGGGCAGGGAAATGGCGGAACCGTGAGGGCAAAGGGGCGGGCTCAGGCCAAGGGCGGCAACTGTGAGAGGACACTCTGGGAGGCGGCACTCTGCAAACAGAACTGCAACGGACTGAACATGAACGGGAAAGAAAGTTGCAAGTCTCAGAGTTTTATTTGCTGTCAAATACGTCATGCTCAGCCAGCCCATAACAATCCACATCCGTGAGGTTGAGCAGCGCACGAAGCTCTGCCCGCACTCCGGGGCACTTGCAGGGCTTCCCTCACTGGTGCTTCGTTGTTATCAGGTCAAATTAGAGCTCTGTGAGAAGCTCTTCCCACACTGGGGACACTGGTAGGGCCTCTCCCCTGTGTGGATGCGCCGGTGGGTGACGAGGGTGGAGTTGTGCTGGAATCCCTTCCCACAGTCGGGGCAGCAGAACGGCCTCTCCTCTGAGTGAATCCGAAAGTGCAGGAGGAGATGAGAGCTGGTCCAACACCTCTTCCTGCATTTATCACACTCGTAGGGCCTCTCCCCTGTGTGGATGCGCTGGTGGGTGATCAGGTGGGACTTCTGCCTGAATCCCTTCCCACACTCAGGGCATTGGAAGGGTCTCACCTCTCTGGGAATCCAATAGTGCTTGAGGAGATAGATGCTGGTCAGAAACCTCTTCCTGCATTTGTCACACTCATAGGGCATCTCCCCAGTGTGGGTCCTCTGCTGCACGATCAGTTCGGAGTTCCACCTGAAGCTCTTCCCACACTCCCCGCACGTGTGGGGCTTCTCCCCATCACGGAGCTGCTCACGGAGCACCAGCTCCAAGTCCCACTGTTCCCGGTTTTTGGGGTCCCAAATTCCCCCAAACTCCCCAAAGCTTTTTGGTCCCAGTGTCCATTTTTGGAGATCCCGTGCCCGTTTCGGGGGTGCCCCGTGCCCATTTCTGTGGTCCCTCCATTCCCATTTTTTGGGATCCCAAGTTCCCCCAAGTTCACACACATTTTAGGTTCCCTGTGCCCATTTTTGGGGTCCCTCCATTCCCGAATTTGGGGTCCCAAATTGCCCCAATTTTCGGGATCCCAGTGCCCGTTTTTGGGGTGTCCCGTTCCCGTTTTTGGGGTGTCCCTTACCCTGCTCCAGCGCCAGCCCCAGCGTGACCCGCCCGGTTCTACCGGTGGATCCGAACATTGCGATCTTCATCCCCGGTGCCGTGAACCGAACCGAACCGAACCGAACCGGATCGAAGCGGGAACGGGATCGAGACCGGGATCCGGGATCGGAATTTGGGATCAGGACCGAGACTCGAACTGGGACCGCGATCGGGACCGGAACCGAGACTGAAACCGGGATTCGAGATCGGGATCGGGATCGGCACCGGGAGCTCCGCGATGGCTCCGAGGAGTTTTGGGAGGGAACTGGGAGGAACGGGGAGGAACTGGAAGGGACTGGGAGGGACTGGGGGTAACTGGGAGGGACTGGGTGGGAAGTGGGAGGGACTGGGAGGGACTGGGAGAAACGGGGAGGGAACTGGGAGGGACTGGGTGGGAAGTGGGAGGAACTGGGAGGGACTGGGAGGGACTGGGCGGGGCGGGACGGCCTCGGTTCCCTCGGTTCCGGTGCCGCCGCCCCTGTCGGGATTGTCCCGGTCCATATTTGAGCCCAGTCCGTATTCGATCCCAGTCTATATAATCTCAGTCCAGTTTATCCCAGTCTGTACAGTCCGAGTCCATTCGATCCCAGTCCAGGTTTTATCCCAGTCCATATTTGTTCCCAATCTCTACTTAATCCCAGTCCATAGTTGATCCCAGTCCATATCTGATCCCACTCCACATTTGATCCAAGTCCATCTTTGATCTTAGTTTATATAATCTCAGTCCAGTTTATCCTAGTCAGGATTACCCCAGTCTATATTTGATCCCAATTCGTATTTCATCCCATTCCATATTTGTTCCCAATCCATATTTAATCCCAGTCCATATTTAATCCAGTCCCGATTTGATCCCAGCCCAGTTTATCCCAGTCCGTTGTTGATCTTAGTCCATATATGACCCCAGTCCATTTTTTATCCCAATTCATATTTCATCCCAGTCTATATAATCTCAGTCCAGTTTATCTCACTCTCTAGGATCCCAATTCCTATCTGATCCCAATCCATATCTGACTCCAGTCTATATAATCCCAGTCCAGTTTATCCCAGTCAGGATTATCCCAGTCTATATTTGATCCCAGTTCGTATTTGATCCCCATCCACAGTTGATCACAGTCTCTATTTGCTCCCACTCCATAGTTGATCCCAGTCCAGATTATCCCAGTCAGTATGGTCCCAATCCATAGGATTCCCAGTCCATATTTGATCCCAGTCCATATTTGACCCCGTCCAAATGATCCCAATCCGTATTTGATCTGAATCCATATTTGACCCCAGTCCATTTTTTATCCCAATTCATATTTGATCCCAGACCATATTTGAGCCCAGTCCATATTTGATCCAAATCTATTTAATCCCACTCCCTAATTGATCCCAGTCCATATTTGATTCCAAACCTTATTTAATCCAAGTCCACATTTGATCCCAATCTATTTGATCCGAGTCCACATTTGATCCCAGTCCATATTTAATCCCAGTCCACATTTGATCCCAGTCCATATTTAATCCCAGTCCCTAATTGATCTCACTCCATATTTAACCCCAGTCATTATTGCCCAGCACACATTCCAAAAGTCTGGAATTCCAGCTCCCAACCTTGAAGGCAAATGGAGCAAAATCCTCCAGAGACATTTCCCTGCCAGCCCTCAGGACTTCAGCTCCTGGGACAGGGAATTAAAATATTAACCAGGAAATATAATAATAAAAAATCAGGGGAGGGTCGGTGGGGACAGAGGGGTCAATTAAATCAGGCAATGGGTCAATTAAATCAGGGGAGGCGTCAATTAAATCATGCAATGGGTCAATTAAATCAGGCAAGGGGTCAATTAAATCAGGGCAGGGGCCAATTAAATCAGGGCAGGGTCTCTGGTGGTCCCAGGGTCAAGGGAGACACTGAGAGAGAAACAGAGCAGGCAAAGAGAGGCAGGAGAGAAAAGGGGACACGAACACAATGAGCTGAGCAGGCGGCACTGTGCAAACAGAACTGCAACGGACTGAACATGAACGGGAGAGAAATCTGTAACTCTGAGAGTTTTATTTGCTATCAAATACATCCCACACACCCAGCCCCACACAATCCCCACCCCACCGCTCTAATTGAGATCCCACCACTGTCAATCACAGGCTGGCTGTAGAATCGAGGAAAATTTGTACGGCATGGAGTTTTTCTCAGGAGGGATTGAGCATTCTGGGGTAAGACTGAGCTGCTTTCACTGGGATTTGAGTCGTTTTGAGGTGACAGATTCATCTCTCTTGGCTTTTGGACTGCAAAGAGATCGAGAAGAGAAAAAAATTAGGGTGATATTAAAAGGAGAAGCAGCCAGGTGTGTTCCCAGCATGGATCACAGGGAATGTGAGCGACCAGGGCTGTGCACAAAGTGCCTCCTCCGGTGGGGGATGGAGCTGGAGCAGCGCACGAAGCTCTGCCCGCACTCGGGGCACTCGCAGGGCTTCCCTCACCGGTGCCTCCGCTGGTGTTGGGTCAAGTGAGAGCTCCTGGAGAAGCTCTTCCCACACTGGGGACACTCGTAGGGCCTCTCCCCAGTGTGGATGCGCCGGTGGGTGACGAGGATGGAGTGGTACTTGAATCCCTTCCCACAGTCGGGGCAGCAGAACGGCCTCTCCTCTGAGTGAATCCGATAGTGCAGGAGGAGATGAGAGCTGGTCTGAAACCTCTTCCTGCATTTATCACACTCGTAGGGCCTCTCCCCTGTGTGGATGCGCCGGTGAATGATGAGGGTGGAGTTCTTCTTGTATCCCTTCCCACACTCAGGGCATTGGAAGGGCCTCTCCTCTGTGTGAGTCTGATAGTGCTCGATGAGATGGGACCTGCTCTGAAACGCCTTCCCACACTTGGAACACTTGTAGGGCCTCTCCCCAGTGTGGATCCTTTGGTGCCTGATCAGGTGGGAGCTGATGCTGAAGCTCTTCCCACACTCCCCACACTCGTAGGGCCTCTCCCCAGTGTGAATCCTCTGGTGCTTGATCAGTTCGCTGTTCCATCTGAAGCTCTTCCCACACTCCCCGCACGTGTGGGGCTTCTCCCCATCACGGAGCTGCTCACGGAGCACCAGCTCCGAGCTCTGGCTCCATCTCCGGCCGCCTTCCCGGCCCACGCCGCCTCTTTCCCCCTCACATCCCCGCCAGCTGCCTTTGCAGCCCCTCCTCGTGCGACATCTCCGCGCCTTTTCCTCCCCGTTGCCTTCCTGCGCCGTGGAGCCGCTCAAAACGGCCTCTTCCACCAGCTCCTGCCGCGGGCATTTCTCCTCCCTGCTCTCCATGCTCAGCTCCTGCTCTGGGCGAGGAAGGACAAGGACACCATGCGATTTGCCTCCGTGCCACAGCCGAGGGCAACGAGATCCCCCCGGGGCGTCCCGGGCAGGACGGCACCGCCACCCCACGATGTCCCCCCGAGGGGCCTTTTCCGCTCAGCCTTGGACTTCTTCATTCTCCAAACATCCCCCCAAAAACCCAACCCAGGGACATCCTGGGATATCAGAGCAGGGCTCCCCCTCCCTGCTCACCTGCGCGATGCGGGGGGCGATGATCCCACAGGTAGGGGCTGCGAATTCAGGCAGGGTCGACCGCGGGGATCCGTCCGCTCAGCCTTGATCCGCCTTTGTCCCTCCTCTTCCTCTTCCTCCCGCTCCGGCTCTTCCGTCCCTCCTCCCGCTCCTCAGCGTTATCTCCGCCTTCTTCTCCTCTTCCATCCCGCCCCTTCCATCCCTTCTCCTCCTCCTCCTCCCTAAACCCACCTTCTTCTTCTCCTCCCATCGCTGCTCACTCTCCGCCTTCATCCCGCCTCTTCCATCTCCGGTTGCCCTGCTCCTCTCCCCAAACCGGCTGGAACCGTGATGGGAAAGGGGGCAGGGAAATGGCGGAACCGTGAGGGGAAAGGGGCGGGCTCAGGCCAAGGGCCGCAACTGTGAGGGGACGCTCTGGGAGGCGGCACTCTGCAAACAGAACTGCAACGGACTGAACATGAACGGGAAAGAAAGTTGTAAGTCTCAGAGTTTTATTTGCTGTCAAATACATCATGCTCAGCCAGCCCATAACAATCCACATCCCTGAGGTTGAGCAGCGCACGAAGCTCTGCCCGCACTCCGGGGCACTTGCAGGGCTTCCCTCTCTGGTGCCTTCGTTGTTATCAGGTCAAATTAGGGCACTGTGAGAAGCTCTTCCCACACTGGGGACACTCGTAGGGCCTCTCCGCTGTGCGGATGCGCCGGTGGGTGACGAGGGAGGAGTTGTGCTGGAATCCCTTCCCACAGTCGGGGCAGCGGAACGGCCTCTCCTCTGAGTGAATCCGAAAGTGCAGGAGGAGATGAGAGCTGGTCCGAAACCTCTTCCTGCATTTGTCACACTCGAAGGGCCTCTCCCCTGTGTGGCTCCTCTGGTGCTTGTTCAGGGCGGAGCTCTGGCTGAAGCGCTTCCCAGACACAGAACACTTGAAAGGCTTTTGCCCAGTATGGATCCTCTGGTGCAGGATCAGGTGAGAGCTCTTAATGAAGCTCTTCCCACTTCCCCCACACTCGTAGGGCCGTTCCCTGGTGTGGATCGTATGCTGGTTGACCAGGTCCGATCTCCATCTGAAGCTCTTCCCACACTCCCCACACGTGTCGGGCTTCTCCTCAGTGTGGGTCCTATGTTGCTGGATCAGGTTGCATTTTCTCCTGAAGCTCTTCCCACACTCGCCACACTCATAGGGTCTCTCCCCATTGTGGGTCCTCTGCTGCACGATCAGTTCGGAGCTCCCCCTGAAGCTCTTCCCACACTCCCCGCACGTGTGGGGCTTCTCCCCATCACGGAGCTCCTCACGGAGCACCAGCTCCAAGTCCCACTGTTCCCGGTTTTTGGGGTCCCAAATTCCCCCAAACTCCCCCAAGTTTTGTGGTCCCAGTGTCCATTTTTGTGGATCCCGTGCCCGTTTTTGGGTTGCCCAGTGCCCATTTCTGTGGTCCCTCCATTCCCATTTTTTCGGGTCCCAAGTTCCCCCAAGTTCACACACATTTTAGGTTCCCTGTGCCCATTTTTGGGCTGCCTGTGTCCATTTTTGGGGAACCCTCCATTCCCGAATTTGGGGTCCCAAATTCCCCCAAATTTCGGGATCCCTGTGCCCGGTTTTGGGGTGTCCCATGCCCGTTTTTGGGGTGTCCCGTACCCTGCTCCAGCGCACGCCCCAGCGTGACCCGCCCGGTTCTACCGGTGGCTCCGAACATTGCGATCTTCATCCCCGGTGCCGTGAACCGAACCCAACCGAACCGAACCGGATCGAAGCGGGAACGGGATCGAGACCGGGATCCAGGATCGGGATTTGGGATCGGGACCGAGACTCGAACTGGGACCGCGATCGGGACCGGAACCGAGACTGAAACCGGGATTCGAGATCGGGATCGGGATCGGCACCGGGAGCTCCGCGATGGCTCCGAGGAGTTTTGGGAGGGAACTGGGAGGAACTGGGAGGGAACTGGGAGGAACTGGAAGGGACGGGGAGGGACTGGGGGTAATTGGGAGGGACTGGGAGGGACTGGGTGGGAAGTGGGAGGAACTGGGAGGGACTGGGAGAAACGGGGAGGGAACTGGGAGAGACTGGGAGGAACTGGGAGGGACTGGGAGGAACTGGGAGGGACTGGTGGTTCCCTCGGTTCCGGTGCAGCCGCCCCTGTCGGGATGGTCCCGGTCCATATTTGATCCCAGTCCATATTTGATCCCAGGCCGTATTTGAGCCCAGTCTAAATAATCTCAGTCAAGTTTATCCCAGTCTATACAATCCCAGTCAATATTAGATCCCAGTCCATAGTTTATCAAAGTCCATATTTGATCTTAGTCAATATTTGATCCCACTCCATATTTGATCCCAGTCCACATTTGACCCCACTCCATATTTAATCCCAGTCCCTAACTGATCCCACTCCACTAATCCCAGTCCTCATCGCCCTGCACACATTCCAAAAGTCTGGAATACCAGCTCACAGACAGGAAAAGATGTTCCCGACCTTGAAGGCAAATGGAGCAAAATCCTCCAGAGACATTTCCCTGCCAGCCCTCAGGATTTCAGCTCCTGGGAATTAAAATATTAACCAAGAAATGTAATAATAAATAATCAGGGGAGGGTCGGTGGGGAGAGAGGGGTAAATTAAATCAGGGGAGGGGTCAATTAAATCAGGGCAGGATCAATTAAATCAGGCAAGGGGTCAATTAAATCAGGGCAGGATGAATTAAATCAGGGGAGGGGTCAATTAAATCAGGGCAGGGGTCAATTAAATCAGGCAAGGGGTAAATTAAACTGGGGCAGAATCAATTAAATCAGGCAATGGGCCAATTAAATCAGGGCAGGGTCTCTGGTGGTCCCAGGGTCAAGGGAGACACTGAGAGAGAAACAGAGCAGGCAAAGAGAGGCAGGAGAGAAAAGGGGACACGAACACAATGAGCTGAGCAGGCGGCATTGTGCAAACAGAACTGCAATGGACTGAACACGAACGGGAGAGAAATCTGTAACTCTGAGAGTTTTATTTGCTATCAAATACATCCCACACGCCCAGCCCCACACAATCCCCACCCCACCGCTCTAATTGAGATCCCTGTACTGTCAATCACAGGCTGGCTGTAGAATGGAGGAAAATTCGTATGGCATGGAGTTTTTCTCAGGAGGGATTGAGCATTCTGGGGGAAGATTGAGCTGTTTTCACTGGGATTTGAGTCGTTTTCAGGTGACAGATTCATCTCTCTTGGCTTTTGGACTGCAAAGAGATCGAGAAGAGTAAAAAATTAGGGTGAAATTAAAAGGAGAAGCAGCCAGGTGTGTTCCCAGCATGGATCACAGGGAATGTGAGTGACCAGGGCTGTGCCCAAAGTGCCTCCTCCAGTGGGGGATGGAGCTGGAGCAGCGCACGAAGCTCTGCCCGCACTCGGGGCACTCGCAGGGCTTCCCTTAGTGGTGCCTCCGTTGGTGTTGGGTCAAGTGAGAGCTCTGTGAGAAGCTCTTCCCACACTGGGGACACTCGTAGGGCCTCTCCCCGGTGTGGATGCGCCGGTGGGTGACGAGGGTGAAGTTGCACTTGAATCCCTTCCCGCAGTCGGGGCAGCGGAAGGGCCTCTCCTCTGAGTGAATCCGATAGTGGGCGAGGAGATGAGAGCTGGTCCGAAACCTCTTCCTGCATTTATCACACTCGTAGGGCCTCTTCCCTGTGTGGATGCGCCGGTGGGTGACGAGGGTGGAGTTTTGCTTGAATCCTTTCCCACAGTCGGGGCATTGGAAGGGCCTCTCCTCTCTGTGAATCCAATAGTGCTTGAGGAGATCAGAACTGCACTGAAACGTCTTCCCACACTTGGAACACTTGTAGGGCCTCTCCCCAGTGTGACTCTTCTGGTGCCTGATCAGGTTGGAGTTCCTGCTGAAGCTCTTCCCACACTCCCCACACTCGTAGGGCTTCTCCCCAGTGTGGATCCTCTGGTGTTCGATCAGGTCGCAGTTCCACCTGAAGCTCTTCCCACACTCCCCGCACGTGTGGGGCTTCTCCCCATCACGGAGCTGCTCACGGAGCACCAGCTCCGAGCTCTGGCTCCATCTCCGGCCGCCTTCCCGGCCCAGGCCGGCTCCTTCCCGCTCACATCCCCGCCAGCTGCCTTTGCAGCCCCTCCTCGTGCGGCATCTCCGCGCCTTTTCCTCCCCGTTGCCTTCCTGCGCCGTGGAGCCGCTCAAAACGGCCTCTTCCACCAGCTCCTGCCGCGGGCATTTCTCCTCCCTGCTCTCCATGCTCAGCTCCTGCTCTGGGCGAGGAAGGACAAGGACACCATGCGATTTGCCTCCGTGCCACAGCCGAGGGCAACGAGATCCCCCCGGGGCGGCCCCGGCAGGACGGCACCGCCACCCCCCGATGTCCCCCCGAGGGGCCTTTTCCGCTCAGCCTTGGACTTCTTCATTCTCCAAACATCCACCCAAAAACCCAACCCAGGGATCCCCCGGGATATCAGGGCCGGGCTCCCCCTCCCTGCTCACCGGCGCGATGCGGGGGCGATGATCCCACAGGTGGGGGCTGCGAATTCAGGCAGGGTCGACCGCGTGGATCCGTCCGCTCAGCCTTGATCCGCCTTTGTCCCTCCTCTTCCTCTTCCTCTTCCTCCCGCTCCTCCTCTTCCTTTCCCCCTCCCGCTCATCAGCCTTAACTCCGCCTTCTTCTCCTCTTCCATCCCGCCCCTTCCATCCCTTCTCCTCCTCCTGCTCCGTAACCCCACCTTCTTCCCCTCCTTCCATCGCTGCTCTCTCTCCGCCTTCATCCCTCCCCTTCCATCTCCGGTTTCCCTGCTCCTCTGCCCAAACCGGCTGGAACCGTGAGGGGAAAGGGGGCGGGGAAATGGCGGAACCGTGAGGGGAAAGGGGCGGGCTCAGGCCAAGGGCGGCAACTGTGAGGGGACACTCTGGGAGGCGGCACTCTGCGAACAGAACTGCAACGGTCTGAACATGAACGGTAAGGAAAGTTGTAAGTCTCGGAATTTTATTTGCTGTCAAATACATGTTGCTCAGCCAGCCCATAACAATCCACATCCCTGAGGTTGAGCAGCGCACGAAGCTCTGCCCGCACTCGGAGCACTCGCTGGGCTTCCCTCACTGGTGCCTTCGTTGCTATCACGTCAAATTAGAGCGCTGTGAGAAGCTCTTCCCACACTGGGGACACTCGTAGGGCCTCTCCGCTGTGAGGATGCGCTGGTGGGTGATCAGGTGGGACTTCTGCCTGAATCCCTTCCCACGCTCAGGGCATTGGAAGGGTCTCTCCTCTCTGTGAATCCAATAGTCCTTTAGGAGATGGGTGCTGGTCAGAAACCTCTTCCTGCATTTGTCACACTCGAAGGGCCTCTCCCCTGTGTGGCTCCTCTGGTGCTTGTTCAGGGCGGAGCTGTGGCTGAAGCGCTTCCCACACACAGAACACTCGAAAGGCTTTTGCCCAGTGTGGATCCTCTGGTGCAGGATCAGGTGAGAGCTCTTAATGAACCTCTTCCCACATTCCCCACACTCGTACGGCCGTTCCCCAGTGTGGATGCGCTGGTGGTTGACCAGGTCCGGTCTCCATCTGAAGCTCTTCCCACACTCCCCGCACGTGTGGGGCTTCTCCCCATCACGGAGCTGCTCACGGAGCACCAGCTCCAAGTCCCACTGTTCCCGGTGTTTGGGGTCCCAAATTCCCCCAAACTCCCCCAAGTTTTGGGGTCCCAGTGTCCATTTTTGGGGGTGCCCGTGCCCGTTTCTGGGGTGCCCCGTGCCCATTTTTGTGGTCCCTCGATTCCCATTTTTTTGGGTCCCAAGTTCCCCCAAGCTCTCACAAATTTCGGGCTCTCTGTGCCCATTTCTGGGCTGCCTGTGTCCATTTTTGGGGTCCGTCCATTCCCGAATTTGGGGTCCCAAATTCCCCCAATTTTCGGGATCCTAGTGCCCATTTTTGGGGTGTCCCGTGCCCGTTTTTGGGGTGTCCCGTGCCCGTTTTTGGGGTGTCCCATGCCCGTTTTTGGGGTGTCCCGTACCCTGCTCCAGCGCCAGCCCCAACGTGACCCGCCCGGTTCTGCCGGTGGCTCCGAAAATCGCGATCTTCATCCCGGGTGCCGTGAACCGAACCGAACCGGACCGAACCGGACCGAACCGAACCGGACTAAATCGAACCGAACCGAACCGGACCGAAGCGAACCGGACTGAATCGAACCGAACCGGACCGAAGCGAACCGATCCGGACTGAATCGAACGGAACAGAACCGAACCGAACCGCACCGAACCGGATCGAACCAGGAACGGGATCAAGATCGGGATCCGGGATCGGGATTTGGGATCGGGACCGAGACTCGAACCGGGACCGCGATCGGGACCGGAACCGAGACTGAAACCGGGATTCGAGGTCGGCACCGGGAGCTCCGCGATGGCTCCGAGGAGTTTTGGGAGGGAACTGGGAGGGACTGGGAGGGACTGGGAGGGAACTGGGAGGAACTGGGCGGGAACTGGGAGGGACTGGGAGGGACTGGGAGGGACTGGGAGGAACTGGGAGGGACTGGTGGTTCGCTCGGTTCCGGTGCAGGCGCCCCTGTCGGGATGGTCCCGGTCCGTATTTGATCCCAGTCCATATTTGAGCCCAGGCCGTATTTCAGCCCCGTCTAAATAATCTCAGTCCATTTTATCCCAGTCTATACAAACCCAGTCAATATTAGATCCCAGTCCATAGTTTATCTAAGCCCATATTTGATCTTAGTCAATATTTGATCCCAATCCATTTGATCCCAGTCCATATTTCATCCCAGTCCATAAGATCCCAGGGCATATTTGATCCCAGTCCAAATGATTCCAGTCCGTATTTGATCCCAGTCCATATTTGACCCCAGTCCATTTTTTATCCCAATTCATATTTGATCCCAGACCATATTTGAGCCCAGTCCATATTTGATCCAAATCTATTTAATCCCACTCCCTAATTGATCCCAGTCCATATTTGATTCCAAACCTTATTTAATCCAAGTCCACATTTGATCCCAATCTATTTGATCCGAGTCCACATTTGATCCCACTCCATATTTAATCCCAGTCCACATTTGATCCCAGTCCATATTTGATCCCAGTCCATAAGATCCCAGGCCATATTTGATCCCAATCCATGATTGACCCCAGTCCATTTTTTATCCCAATTCATATTTGATCCCAGACCATATTTGAGCCCAGTCCATATTTGATCCAAATCTATTTAATCCCACTCCCTAATTGATCCCACTCCATATTTGATTCCAAACCTTATTTAATCCAAGTCCATATTTGATCCCAATCTATTTGATCCCAGACCACATTTGATCCCAGTCCATATTTAATCCCAGTCCCTAATTGATCTCACTCCATATTTAATCCCAGTCATTATCGTCCTGCACACATTCCAAAAGTCTGGAATTCCAGCTCCCAACCTTGAAGGCAAATGGAGCAAAATCCTACAGAGACATTTCCCTGCCAGCCCTCAGGACTGCAGCTCCTGGGACTGGGAATGAAAATATTAACCAGGAAATATAATAATAAAAAATCAGGGGAGAGTCGGTGGGGACAGAGGGGTCAATGAAATCAGGCAAGGGGTCAATAAAATAAGGCAAGGGGTCAATTAAATCAGCAGAGGGGTCAATTAAATCTGGTAAGGGGTCAATTAAATCAAGCAATGGGTCAATTAAATCAAGCAATGGGTCAATTAAATCAGGTAAGGGGTCAATTAAATCAGGGCAGGGTCTCTGGTGGTCCCAGGGTCAAGGGAGACACTGAGAGAGAAACAGAGTAGGCAAAGAGAGGCAGGAGAGAAAAGGGGACACGAACACAATGAGCTGAGCAGGCGGCACTGTGCAAACAGAACTGCAACGGACTGAACATGAACGGGACAGAAATCTGTAAGTCTGAGAGTTTTATTTGCTATCAAATACACCCCACACGCCCAGCCCCACACAATCCCCACCCCACTGCTCTAATTGAGATCCCACTACTGTCAATCACAGGCTGGCTGTAGAATCGAGGATAATTCGTACGGCATGGAGTTTTTCTCAGGAGGGATTGAGCATTCTGGGGCAAGCCTGAGCTGTTTTCACTGGGATTTGAGTCGTTTTGAGGTGACAGATTCATCTCTCTTGGCTTTTGGACTGCAAAGAGATCGAGAAGAGAAAAAAATTAGGGTGATATTAAAAGGAGAAGCAGCCAGGTGTGTTCCCAGCATGGATCACAGGGAATGTGAGTGACCAGGGCTGTGCCCAAAGTGCCTCCTCCAGTGGGGGATGGAGCTGGAGCAGCGCACGAAGCTCTGCCCGCACTCGGGGCACTCGCAGGGCTTCCCTCACCGGTGCGTCCGTTGGTGTTGGGTCAAGTTGGAGCGTCTGGAGAAGCTCTTCCGACACTGGAGACACTCGTAGGGCCTCTCCCCAGTGTGGATGCGACAGTGGGTGACGAGGATGGAGTTGTACTTGAATCCCTTCCCACAGTCGGGGCAGCGGAAGGGCCTCTCCTCTGTGTGAATCCGATAGTGGTAGAGGAGCTGATAGCTGGTCCGAAACCTCTTCCTGCATTTATCACACTCGTAGGGCCTCTCCCCAGTGTGGATGCGCTGGTGGGTGATGAGGTGGGACTTCTTCTTGTATCCCTTCCCACAGTCGGGGCATTGGAAGGGCCGCTCCTCTCTGTGAATCCAATAGTGCTGGAGGAGATTAGAGCTGCTCTGAAACGCCTTCCCACACAGGGAACACTTGTAGGGCCTCTCCCCAGTGTGAGTCATCTGGTGCCTGATCAGGCTGGCCCTCTGGCTGAAGCTCTTCCCACACTCCCCACACTCGTAGGGCCTCTCCCCAGTGTGAATCCTCTGGTGCCTGATCAGTTCGGAGTTCCACCTGAAGCTCTTCCCACACTCCATGCAGCTGTGCGGCTTCTCCCCATCACGGAGCTGCTCACGGAGCACCAGCTCCGAGCTCTGGCTCCATCTCCGGCCGCCTTCCCGGCCCACGCCGCCTCTTTCCCCCTCACATCCCCGCCAGCTGCCTTTGCAGCCCCTCCTCGTGCGGCATCTCCGCGCCTTTTCCTCCCCGTTGCCTTCCTGCGCCGTGGAGCCGCTCAAAACGGCCTCTTCCACCAGCTCCTGCCGCGGGCATTTCTCCTCCCTGCTCTCCATGCTCAGCTCCTGCTCTGGGCGAGGAAGGACAAGGACACCATGCGATTTGCCTCCGTGCCACAGCCGAGGGCAACGAGATCCCCCCGGGGCGTCCCGGGCAGGACGGCACCGCCACCCCCCGATGTCCCCCCGAGGGGCCTTTTCCGCTCAGCCTTGGACTTCTTCATTCTCCAAACATCCACCCAGAAATCCAACCCAGGGACCCCCCGGGATATCAGGGCCGGGCTCCCCCTCCCTGCTCACCGGCGCGATGCGGGGGCGATGATCCCACAGGTGGGGGCTGCGAATTCAGGCAGGGTCGACCGCGTGGATCCGTCTGCTCAGCGTTAATCAGCGTTTGTCCCTCCTCTTCCTCTTCCTCCCGCTCCTCCTCTTCCTTTCCCCCTCCCGCTCCTCAGCGTTATCTCCGCCTCCTTCTCCTCTTCCATCCCGCCGCTTCCATCCCTTCTCCTCCTCCTGCTCCCTGACCCCACCTTCTTCTTCTCCTCCCATCGCTGCTCTCTCTCCGCCTTCATCCGTCCTCTTCCATTTCTGCTTGCCCTGCTCCTCTCCCCAAACCGGCTCCAACCGTGATGGGAAAGGGGGCGGGGAAAGGGCGGAACCGTGAGGGGAAAGGGGCGGGCTCAGGCCAAGGGCGGTAACTGTGAGGGGACGCTCTGGGAGGCGGCACTCTGCAAACAGAACTGCAACGGTCTGAACATGAACGGAAAAGAAAGTTGTAAGTCTCGGAATTTTATTTGCTGTCAAATACATCATGCTCAGCCAGCGCATAACAATCCACATCCGTGAGGTTGAGCAGCGCACGAAGCTCTGCCCGAACTCGGGGCACTCGCTGGGCTTCCCTGACTGGTGCCTTCGTTGTTATCAGGTCAAATTAGAGCACTGTGAGAAGCTCTTCCCACACTGGGGACACTCGTAGGGCCTCTCCGCTGTGAGGATGCGCTGGTGGGTGATCAGGTGGGACTTCTGCCTGAATCCCTTCCCACGCTCAGGGCATTGGAAGGGTCTCTCCTCTCTGTGAATCCAATAGTCCTTTAGGAGATGGGTGCTGGTCAGAAACCTCTTCCTGCATTTGTCACACTCGAAGGGCCTCTCCCCTGTGTGGCTCCTCTGGTACTTGTTCAGGGCGGAGCTGTGGCTGAAGCGCTTCCCACACACAGAACACTCGAAAGGCTTTTGCCCAGTGTGGATCCTCTGGTGCAGGATCAGGTGGGAGCTCTTAATGAAGCTCTTCCCACATTCCCCACACTCGTAGGGCCGTTCCCCAGTGTGGATCCTCTGGTGGTTGACCAGGTCCGGACTCCATCTGAAGCTCTTCCCACACTTCCCACACGTGTCGGGCTTCTCCCCAGTGTGGGGCCTCTGGTGCTGGATCAGGTTGCATTTTCTCCTGAAGCTCTTCCCACACTCCCCGCACGTGTGGGGCTTCTCCCCATCACGGAGCTGCTCACGGAGCACCAGCTCCAAGTCCCACTGTTCCCGGTGTTTGGGGTCCCAAATTCCCCCAAACTCCCCCAAGTTTTGGGGTCCCAGTGTCCATTTTTGGGGGTGCCCGTGACCGTTTTTGGGGTGCCCCGTGCCCATTTTTGTGGTCCCTCCATTCCCATTTTTTTGGGTCCCAAGTTCCCCCAAGTTCTCACAAATTTCGGGCTCTCTGTGCCCATTTTTGGGCTGCCTGTGTCCATTTTTGGGGTCCGTCCATTCCCGAATTTGGGGTCCCAAATTCCCCCAATTTTCGGGATCCTAGTGCCCATTTTTGGGGTGTCCCGTGCCCGTTTTTGGGGTGTCCCATGCCCGTTTTTGGGGTGTCCCGTACCCTGCTCCAGCGCACGCCCCAGCGCGACCCGCCCGGTTCTGCCGGTGGCTCCGAAGATCGCGATCTTCATCCCCGGTGCCGTGAATCGAACCGAACCGGACTGAACCGCACCGAACCGAACCGGACGAAATCGAACCGGACCGAACCGAACCGGACTGAATCGAACCGAACCGGACCGAAGCGAACCGATCCGGACTGAATCGAACGGAACCGAACCGAACCGAACCGAACCGGATCGAACCAGGAACGGGATCAAGATCGGGATCCGGGATCGGGATTTGGGATCGGGACCGAGACTCGAACCGGAACCGCGATCGGGACCGGATCCGAGACTGAAACCGGGATTCGAGATCGGGATCGGGAGCTCCGCGATGGCTCCGAGGAGTTTTGGGAGGGAACTGGGAGGGACTGGGAGGAACTGGGAGGGACTGGGAGGAACTGGGAGGGACTGGGAGGAACTGGGAGGGACTGGTGGTTCGCTCGGTTCCGGTGCCGCCGCCCCTGTCGGGATGGTCCCGGTCCATATTTGATCCCAGTCCATATTTGAACCCAGGCCGTATTTCAGCCCCGTCTAAATAATCTCAGTCCATTTTATCCCAGTCTATACAAACCCAGTCAATATTAGATCCCAGTCCATAGTTTATCTAAGCCCATATTTGATCTTAGTCAATATTTGATCCCAATCCATTTGATCCCAGTCCATATTTCATCCCAGTCCATAAGATCGCAGGCCATAATTGATCCCAGTCCATATTTCATCCCAGTCCATATTTGATCCCAGTCCAAATGATTCCAGTCCGTATTTGATCCCAGTCCATATTTGACCCCAGTCCATTTTTTATCCCAATTCATATTTGATCCCAGACCATATTTGAGCCCAGTCCATATTTGATCCAAATCTATTTAATCCCACTCCCTAATTGATCCCACTCCATATTTGATTCCAAACCTTATTTAATCCAAGTCCACATTTGATCCCAATCTATTTGATCCGAGTCCACATTTGATCCCACTCCATATTTAATCCCAGTCCACATTTGATCCCAGTCCATATTTAATCCCAGTCCCTAATTGATCTCACTCCATATTTAATCCCAGTCATTATTGCCCTGCACACATTCCAAAAGTCTGGAATTCCAGCTCCCAACCTTGAAGGCAAATGGAGCAAAATCCTACAGAGACATTTCCCTGCCAGCCCTCAGGACTGCAGCTCCTGGGACTGGGAATGAAAATATTAACCAGGAAATATAATAATAAAACATCAGGGGAGGGTCGGTGGGGACAGAGGGGTCAATTAAATCAGGCAAGGGGTCAATTAAATCAGGCAATGGGTCAATTAAATCAGGTAAGGGGTCAATTAAGTCAGGGCAGCGTCTCTGGTGGTCCCAGGGTCAAGGGAGACACTGAGAGAGAAACAGAGCAGGCAAAGAGAGGCAGGGGAGAAAAGGGGACACGAACACAATGAGCTGAGCAGGCGGCACTGTGCAAACAGAACTGCAACGGACTGAACATGAACGGGACAGAAATCTGTAAGTCTGAGAGTTTTATTTGCTATCAAATACACCCCACACGCCCAGCCCCACACAATCCCCACCCCACCGCTCTAATTGAGATCCCACTACTGTAAATTCAGGCTGGCTGTAGAATCGAGGAAAATTCGTATGGCATGGAGTTTTTCTCAGGAGGGATTGAGCATTCTGGGGCAAGCCTGAGCTGTTTTCACTGGGATTTGAGTCGTTTTCAGGTGACAGATTCATCTCTCTTGGCTTTTGGACTGCAAAGAGATCGAGAAGAGTAAAAAATTAAGGTGAAATTAAAAGGAAAAGCAGCCAGGTGTGTTCCCAGCATGGATCACAGGGAATGTGAGCGACCAGGGCTGTGCCCAAAGTGCCTCCTCCGGTGGGGGATGGAGCTGGAGCAGCGCACGAAGCTCTGCCCGCACTCGGGGCACTCGCAGGGCTTCCCTTACCAGTGCCTCTGTTGGTGTCGGGTCAAGATAGAGCTCTGTGAGAAGCTCTTCCCACACTGGGGACACTCGTAGGGCCTCTCCCCGGTGTGGATGCGCCGGTGGGTGACGAGGTGGGAGTTGTACTTGAATCCCTTCCCACAGTCGGGGCAGCGGAAGGGCCTCTCCTCTGAGTGAATCCGATAGTGGGCGAGGAGATGAGAGCTGGTCCGACACCTCTTCCTGCATTTATCACACTCGTAGGGCCTCTCCCCTGTGTGGATGCGCCGGTGGTTGATGAGGCTGGAGTTGTGCTTGAATCCTTTCCCACAGTCGGGGCATTGGAAGGGCCTCTCCTCTCTGTGAATCCAATAGTGCTTGAGGAGATCAGAACTGCACTGAAACGTCTTCCCACACTTGGAACACTTGTAGGGCCTCTCCCCAGTGTGAGTCTTCTGGTGCCTTATCAGGTTGGAGTTCCTGCTGAAGCTCTTCCCACACTCCCCACACTCGTAGGGCTTCTCCCCAGTGTGGATCCTCTGGTGTTCGATCAGGTCGCTGTTCCACCTGAAGCTCTTCCCACACTCCCCGCACGTGTGGGGCTTCTCCCCATCACGGAGCTGCTCACGGAGCACCAGCTCCGAGCTCTGGCTCCATCTCCGGCCGCCTTCCCGGCCCAGGCCGCCTCTTTCCCCCTCACATCCCCGCCAGCTGCCTTTGCAGCCCCTCCTCGTGCGGCATCTCCGCGCCTTTTCCTCCCCGTTGCCTTCCTGCGCCGTGGAGCCGCTCAAAACGGCCTCTTCCACCAGCTCCTGCCGCGGGCATTTCTCCTCCCTGCTCTCCATGCTCAGCTCCTGCTCTGGGCGAGGAAGGACAAGGACACCATGCGATTTGCCTCCGTGCCACAGCCGAGGGCAACGAGATCCCCCCGGGGCGTCCCCGGCAGGACGGCACCGCCACCCCCCGATGTCCCCCCGAGGGGCCTTTTCCGCTCAGCCTTGGACTTCTTCATTCTCCAAACATCCCCCCAAAAACCCAACATAGGGACCCCCCGGGATATCAGGGCCGGGCTCCCCCTCCCTGCTCACCGGCGCGATGCGGGGGCGATGATCCCACAGGTGGGGGCTGCGAATTCAGGCAGGGTCGACCGCGTGGATCCGTCCGCTCAGCCTTCATCCGCCTTTGTCCCTCCTCTTCCTCTTCCTCCCGCTCCTCCTCTTCCTTTCCCCCTCCCGCTCCTCAGCCTTAACTCCGCCTTCTTCTCCTCTTCCATCCCGCCCCTTCCATCCCTTCTCCTCCTCCTGCTCCCTAACCCCACCTTCTTCCCCTCCTTCCATCGCTGCTCTCTCTCCGCCTTCATCCCTCCCCTTCCATCTCCGGTTTCCCTGCTCCTCTGCCCAAACCGGCTGGAACCGTGAGGGGAAAGGGGGCGGGGAAAGGGCGGAACCGTGAGGGGAAAGGGGCGGGCTCAGGCCAAGGGCGGTAACTGTGAGGGGACACTCTGGGAGGCGGCACTCTGCGAACAGAACTGCAACGGTCTGAACATGAACGGTAAGGAAAGTTGTAAGTCTCGGAATTTTATTTGCTGTCAAATACATGTTGCTCAGCCAGCCCATAACAATCCACATCCCTGAGGTTGAGCAGCGCACGAAGCACTGCCCGCACTCGGGGCACTCGCTGGGCTTCCCTCACTGGTGCCTTCGTTGTTATCAGGTCAAATTAGAGCACTGTGAGAAGCTCTTCCCACACTGGGGACACTCGTAGGGCCTCTCCGCTGTGAGGATGCGCTGGTGGGTGATCAGGTGGGACTTCTGCCTGAATCCCTTCCCACGCTCAGGGCATTGGAAGGGTCTCTCCTCTCTGTGAATCCAATAGTCCTTTAGGAGATGGGTGCTGGTCAGAAACCTCTTCCTGCATTTGTCACACTCGAAGGGCCTCTCCCCTGTGTGGCTCCTCTGGTGCTTGTTCAGGGCGGAGCTGTGGCTGAAGCGCTTCCCACACACAGAACACTCGAAAGGCTTTTGCCCAATATGGATCCTCTGGTGCAGGATCAGGTGAGAGCTCTTAATGAACCTCTTCCCACATTCCCCACACTCGTAGGGCCGTTTCCCCAGTGTGGATGCGCTGGTGGTTGACCAGGTCCGGTCTCCATCTGAAGCTCTCCCCACACTCCCCGCACGTGTGGGGCTTCTCCCCATCACGGAGCTGCTCACCGACCACCAGCTCCAAGTCCCACTGTTCCCGGTGTTTGGGGTCCCAAATTCCCCCAAACTCCCCCAAGTTTTGGGGTCCCAGTGTCCATTTTTGGGGGTGCCCGTGCCCGTTTTTGGGGTGCCCCGTGCCCATTTTTGTGGTCCCTCGATTCCCATTTTTTTGGGTCCCAAGTTCCCCCAAGCTCTCACAAATTTCGGGCTCTCTGTGCCCATTTTTGGGCTGCCTGTGTCCATTTTTGGGGTCCGTCCATTCCCGAATTTGGGGTCCCAAATTCCCCCAATTTTCGGGATCCTAGTGCCCATTTTTGGGGTGTCCCGTGCCCGTTTTTGGGGTGTCCCGTGCCCGTTTTTGGGGTGTCCCATGCCCGTTTTTGGGGTGTCCCGTACCCTGCTCCAGCGCCAGCCCCAACGTGACCCGCCCGGTTCTGCCGGTGGCTCCGAAGATCGCGATCTTCATCCCGGGTGCCGTGAACCGAACCGAACCGAACCGAACCGGACCGAACCGAACCGGACTAAATCGAACCGAACCGGACCGAAGCGAACCGGACTGAATCGAACCGAACCGGACCGAAGCGAACCGATCCGGACTGAATCGAACGGAACAGAACCGAACCGAACCGCACCGAACCGGATCGAACCAGGAACGGGATCAAAATCGGGATCCGGGATCGGGATTTGGGATCGGGACCGAGACTCGAACCGGGACCGCGATCGGGACCGGAACCGAGACTGAAACCGGGATTCGAGGTCGGCACCGGGAGCTCCGCGATGGCTCCGAGGAGTTTTGGGGGGGAACTGGGAGGAACTGGGCGGGAACTGGGAGGGACTGGGAGGAACTGGGAGGGACTGGGAGGAACTGGGAGGGACTGGGAGGAACTGGGAGGGACTGGTGGTTCGCTCGGTTCCGGTGCCGCCGCCCCTGTCGGGATGGTCCCGGTCCGTATTTGATCCCAGTCCATATTTGAACCCAGGCCGTATTTCAGCCCCGTCTAAATAATCTCAGTCCATTTTATCCCAGTCTATACAAACCCAGTCAATATTAGATCCCAGTCCATAGTTTATCTAAGCCCATATTTGATCTTAGTCAATATTTGATCCCAATCCATTTGATCCCAGTCCATATTTCATCCCAGTCCATAAGATCCCAGGCCATAATTGATCCCAGTCCATAAAATCCCAGGGCATATTTGATCCCAGTCCAAATGATTCCAGTCCGTATTTGATCCCAGTCCATATTTGACCCCAGTCCATTTTTTATCCCAATTCATATTTGATCCCAGACCATATTTGAGCCCAGTCCATATTTGATCCAAATCTATTTAATCCCACTCCCTAATTGATCCCAGTCCATATTTGATTCCAAACCTTATTTAATCCAAGTCCACATTTGATCCCAATCTATTTGATCCGAGTCCACATTTGATCCCACTCCATATTTAATCCCAGTCCACATTTGATCCCAGTCCATATTTAATCCCAGTCCCTAATTGATCTCACTCCATATTTAATCCCAGTCATTATCGCCCTGCACACATTCCAAAAGTCTGGAATTCCAGCTCCCAACCTTGAAGGCAAATGGAGCAAAATCCTACAGAGACATTTCCCTGCCAGCCCTCAGGACTGCAGCTCCTGGGACTGGGAATGAAAATATTAACCAGGAAATATAATAATAAAAAATCAGGGGAGAGTCGGTGGGGACAGAGGGGTCAATGAAATCAGGCAAGGGGTCAATAAAATAAGGCAAGGGGTCAATTAAATCAGCAGAGGGGTCAATTAAATCAGGTAAGGGGTCAATTAAATCAAGCAATGGGTCAATTAAATCAAGCAATGGGTCAATTAAATCAGGTAAGGGGTCAATTAAATCAGGGCAGGGTCTCTGGTGGTCCCAGGGTCAAGGGAGACACTGAGAAAAACAGAGTAGGCAAAGAGAGGCAGGAGAGAAAAGGGGACACGAACACAATGAGCTGAGCAGGCGGCACTGTGCAAACAGAACTGCAACGGACTGAACATGAACGGGAGAGAAATCTGTAACTCTGAGAGTTTTATTTGCTATCAAATACACCCCACACACCCAGCCCCACACAATCCCCACCCCACTGCTCTAATTAAGATCCCACTACTGTCAATCACAGGCTGGCTGTAGAATCGAGGAAAATTCGTATGGCATGGAGTTTTTCTCAGGAGGGATTGAGCATTCTGGGGCAAGCCTGAGCTCTTTTCACTGGGATTTGAGTCGTTTTGAGGTGACAGATTCATCTCTCTTGGCTTTTGGACTGCAAAGAGATCGAGAAGAGAAAAAAATTAGGGTGATATTAAAAGGAGAAGCAGCCAGGTGTGTTCCCAGCATGGATCACAGGGAATGTGAGCGACCAGGGCTGTGCCCAAAGTGCCTCCTCCAGTGGGGGATGGAGCTGGAGCAGCGCACGAAGCTCTGCCCGCACTCGGGGCACTCGCAGGGCTTCCCTTACCGGTGCCGCCGTTGGTGTTGGGTCAAGTGAGAGCTGCTGGAGAAGCTCTTCCCACACTGGGGACACTCGTAGGGCCTCTCCCTGTGTGGATGCGCCGGTGCCTGACGAGGGAGGAGTTGTACTTGAATCCCTTCCCACAGTCGGGGCATTGGAAGGGTGTATCCTCTCTGTGAGTCCAATAGTGCTGGAGGAGATGGGAGCTCATATTAAAGCCCTTCCCACACTTGGTACACTCGTAGGGCCTCTCCCCTGTGTGGATGCGCTGGTGCCTGACGAGGGAGGAGTTGTGCTTGAATCCCTTCCCACACTCAGGGCATTGGAAGGGTCTATCCTCTCTGTGAATCCAATAGTGCTTGAAAAGATTGGAGCTGAGATTAAAGCCCTTCCCACATTTGGAACACTCGTAGGGCTTCTCCCCTGTGTGGATCCTCTGGTGCCTGATCAGTTCGGAGTTCCTGCTGAAGCTCTTCCCACACTCCCCGCACGTGTGGGGCTTCTCCCCATCACGGAGCTGCTCACGGAGCACCAGCTCCGAGCTCTGGCTCCATCTCCGGCCGCCTTCCCGGCCCAGGCCGGCTCCTTCCCCCTCACATCCCCGCCAGCTGCCTTTGCAGCCCCTCCTCGTGCGGCATCTCCGCGCCTTTTCCTCCCCGTTGCCTTCCTGCGCCGTGGAGCCGCTCAAAACGGCCTCTTCCACCAGCTCCTGCCGCGGGCATTTCTCCTCCCTGCTCTCCATGCTCAGCTCCTGCTCTGGGCGAGGAAGGACAAGGACACCATGCGATTTGCCTCCGTGCCACAGCCGAGGGCAACGACATCCCCCCAGGGCGGCCCCGGCAGGACGGCACCGCCACCCCCCGATGTCCCCCCGAGGGGCCTTTTCCGCTCAGCCTTGGACTTCTTCATTCTCCAAACATCCCCCAAAAACCCAACCCAGGGACCCCCCGGGATATCAGGGCCGGGCTCCCCCTCCCTGCTCACCGGCGCGATGCGGGGGCGATGATCCCACAGGTGGGGGCTGCGAATTCAGGCTGGTCGACCGCGGGGATCCGTCCGCTCAGCCTTGATCCGCCTTTGTCCCTCCTCTTCCTCTTCCTCTTCCTCCCGCTCCTCCTCTTCCTTTCCCCCTCCCGGTCCTCAGCGTTATCTCCGCCTCCTTCTCCTCTTCCATCCCGCCCCTTCCATCCCTTCTCCTCCTCCTGCTCCCTGACCCCACCTTCTTCTTCTCCTCCCATCGCTGCTCACTCTCCGCCTTCATCCCTCCCCTTCAATCTCCGCTTTCCCTGCTCCTCTCCCCAAACCGGCTGGAACCGTGAGGGGAAAGGGGGCAGGGAAAGGGCGGAACCGTGAGGGGAAAGGGGCGGGCTCAGGCCAAGGGCGGCAACTGTGAGGGGACGCTCTGGGAGGCGGCACTCTGCGAACAGAATTGCAACGGTCTGAACATGAACGGGAAAGAAAGTTGTAAGTCTCAGAGTTTTATTTGCTATCAAATACATCATGCTCAGCCAGCGCATAACAATCCACATCCATGAGGTTGAGCAGCGCACGAAGCTCTGCCTGCAATCGGTGCCCTCACAGGGCTTCCATTCGTGGTGCTTCCGTTGGTGTCGGGTCAAGTGAGAGCTGGTGGAGAAGCTCTTCCCACACTGGGGACACTCGTAGGGCCTCTCCCCTGTGTGGATGCGCCGGTGGGTGACGAGGATGGAATTGTACTTGAATCCCTTCCCACAGTCGCGGCAGCGGAAGGGCCTCTCCTCTGAGTGAATCCGATAGCGCAGGAGGAGAGGAGAGCTGGTCCGACACCTCTTTCTGCATTTATCACACTCATAGGGCCTCTCCCCTTTGTGGATACTCTGGTGGTTGATCAGGTCCGATCTCCATCTGAAGCTCTTCCCACACTCCCCACACTCATAGGGCTTCTCCCCAGTGTGAATCCTCTGGTGCCTGATCAGGTCGCTGTTCCACCTGAAGCTCTTCCCACACTCCCCGCACGTGTGGGGCTTCTCCCCATCACGGAGCTGCTCACGGAGCACCAGCTCCAAGTCCCACTGTTCCCGGTGTTTGGGGTCCCAAATTCCCCCAAACTCCCCCAAGTTTTGGGGTCCCAGTGTCCATTTTTGGGGGTGACCGTGCCCGTTTTTGGGGTGCCCCTTGCCCATTTTTGTGGTCCCTCCATTCCCATTTATTTGGGTTCCAAGTTCCCCCAAGTTCTCACAAATTTCGGGGTCTCTGTGCCCGTTTTTGGGCTGCCTGTGTCCATTTTTGGGGTCCGTCCATTCCCGAATTTGGGGTCCCAAATTCCCCCAATTTTCGGGATCCCAGTGCCCGTTTTTGGGGTGTCCCGTGCCCGTTTTTGGGGTGTCCCGTACCCTGCTCCAGCGCACGCCCCAGCGTGACCCGCCCGGTTCTGCCGGTGGCTCCGAAGATCGCGATCTTCATCCCGGGTGCCGTGAACCGAACCGAACCGGACCGAACCGAACCGAACCGAACCGGACTGAATCGAACCGAACCGGACCGAAGCGAACCGAACCGGACTGAATCGAACGGAACCGAACCGAACCGAACCGGACCGAACCGGACCGAGCGAACCGGACTGAATCGAACCGGACCGAACCGAACCGAACGCGAACGAACCAGGAACGGGATCAAGATCGGGATCCGGGATCGGGATTTGGGATCGGGACCGAGACTCGAACCGGGACCGCGATCGGGACCGGAACCGAGACTGAAACCGGGATTCGAGGTCGGCACCGGGAGCTCCGCGATGGCTCCGAGGAGTTTTGGGAGGGAACTGGGAGGGACTGGGAGGGAACTGGGAGGAACTGGGCGGGAACTGGGAGGGACTGGGAGGGACTGGGAGGGACTGGGAGGGACTGGGAGGAACTGGGAGGGACTGGGCGGAACTGGGAGGGACTGGTGGTACGCTCGGTTCCGGTGCAGCCGCCCCTGTCGGGATGGTCCCGGTCCGTATTTGATCCCAGTCCATATTTGAGCCCAGGCCGTATTTCAGCCCCGTCTAAATAATCTCAGTCCATTTTATCCCAGTCTATACAAACCCAGTCAATATTAGATCCCAGTCCATAGTTTATCTAAGCCCATATTTGATCTTAGTCAATATTTGATCCCAATCCATTTGATCCCAGTCCATATTTCATCCCAGTCCATAAGATCGCAGGCCATAATTGATCCCAGTCCAAATGATTCCAGTCCGTATTTGATCCCAGTCCATATTTGACCCCAGTCCATTTTTTATCCCAATTCATATTTGATCCCAGACCATATTTGAGCCCAGTCCATATTTGATCCAAATCTATTTAATCCCACTCCCTAATTGATCCCAGTCCATATTTGATTCCAAACCTTATTTAATCCAAGTCCACATTTGATCCCAATCTATTTGATCCGAGTCCACATTTGATCCCACTCCATATTTAATCCCAGTCCACATTTGATCCCAGTCCATATTTAATCCCAGTCCCTAATTGATCTCACTCCATATTTAATCCCAGTCATTATTGCCCTGCACACATTCCAAAAGTCTGGAATTCCAGCTCCCAACCTTGAAGGCAAATGGAGCAAAATCCTACAGAGACATTTCCCTGCCAGCCCTCAGGACTGCAGCTCCTGGGACTGGGAATGAAAATATTAACCAGGAAATATAATAATAAAACATCAGGGGAGGGGCGGTGGGGATAGAGGGGTCAATGAAATCAGGCAATGGGTCAATTAAATCAGGTAAGGGGTCAATTAAGTCAGGGCAGCGTCTCTGGTGGTCCCAGGGTCAAGGGAGACACTGAGAGAGAAACAGAGCAGGCAAAGAGAGGCAGGGGAGAAAAGGGGACACGAACACAATGAGCTGAGCAGGCGGCACTGTGCAAACAGAACTGCAACGGACTGAACATGAACGGGACAGAAATCTGTAAGTCTGAGAGTTTTATTTGCTATCAAATACACCCCACACGCCCAGCCCCACACAATCCCCACCCCACCGCTCTAATTGAGATCCCACTACTGTAAATTCAGGCTGGCTGTAGAATCGAGGAAAATTCGTATGGCATGGAGTTTTTCTCAGGAGGGATTGAGCATTCTGGGGCAAGCCTGAGCTGTTTTCACTGGGATTTGAGTCGTTTTGAGGTGACAGATTCATCTCTCTTGGCTTTTGGACTGCAAAGAGATCGAGAAGAGAAAAAAATTAGGGTGATATTAAATGGAGAAGCAGCCAGGTGTGTTCCCAGCATGGATCACAGGGAATGTGAGTGACCAGGGCTGTGCCCAAAGTGCCTCCTCCAGTGGGGGATGGAGCTGGAGCAGCGCACGAAGCTCTGCCCGCACTCGGGGCACTCGCAGGGCTTCCCTTACCAGTGCCTCTGTTGGTGTCGGGTCAAGATAGAGCTCTGTGAGAAGCTCTTCCCACACTGGGGACACTCGTAGGGCCTCTCCCCGGTGTGGATGCGCCGGTGGGTGACGAGGTGGGAGTTGTACTTGAATCCCTTCCCACAGTCGGGGCAGCGGAAGGGCCTCTCCTCTGTGTGAATCCGATAGTGGGCGAGGAGATGAGAGCTGGTCCGACACCTCTTCCTGCATTTATCACACTCGTAGGGCCTCTCCCCTGTGTGGATGCGCCGGTGGTTGATGAGGCTGGAGTTGTGCTTGAATCCTTTCCCACAGTCGGGGCATTGGAAGGGCCTCTCCTCTCTGTGAATCCAATAGTGCTTGAGGAGATCAGAACTGCACTGAAACGTCTTCCCACACTTGGAACACTTGTAGGGCCTCTCCCCAGTGTGAGTCTTCTGGTGCCTGATCAGGTTGGAGTTCCTGCTGAAGCTCTTCCCACACTCCCCACACTCGTAGGGCTTCTCCCCAGTGTGGATCCTCTGGTGTTCGATCAGGTCGCTGTTCCACCTGAAGCTCTTCCCACACTCCCCGCACGTGTGGGGCTTCTCCCCATCACGGAGCTGCTCACGGAGCACCAGCTCCGAGCTCTGGCTCCATCTCCGGCCGCCTTCCCGGCCCAGGCCGCCTCTTTCCCCCTCACATCCCCGCCAGCTGCCTTTGCAGCCCCTCCTCGTGCGGCATCTCCGCGCCTTTTCCTCCCCGTTGCCTCCCTGCGCCGTGGAGCCGCTCAAAACGGCCTCTTCCACCAGCTCCTGCCGCGGGCATTTCTCCTCCCTGCTCTCCATGCTCAGCTCCTGCTCTGCGGGAGGAAGGACAAGGACACCATGCGATTTGCCTCCGTGCCACAGCCGAGGGCAACGACATCCCCCCGGGGCGTCCCCGGCAGGACGGCACCGCCACCCCCCGATGTCCCCCCGAGGGGCCTTTTCCGCTCAGCCTTGGACTTCTTCATTCTCCAAACATCCACCCAAAAACCCAACATAGGGACCCCCCGGGATATCAGGGCCGGGCTCCCCCTCCCTGCTCACCGGCGCGATGCGGGGGCGATGATCCCACAGGTGGGGGCTGCGAATTCAGGCAGGGTCGACCGCGTGGATCCGTCCGCTCAGCCTTCATCCGCCTTTGTCCCTCCTCTTCCTCTTCCTCTTCCTCCCGCTCCTCCTCTTCCTTTCCCCCTCCCGCTCCTCAGCCTTAACTCCGCCTTCTTCTCCTCTTCCATCCCGCCCCTTCCATCCCTTCTCCTCCTCCTGCTCCCTAACCCCACCTTCTTCCCCTCCTTCCATCGCTGCTCTCTCTCCGCCTTCATCCCTCCCCTTCCATCTCCGGTTTCCCTGCTCCTCTGCCCAAACCGGCTGGAACCGTGAGGGGAAAGGGGGCGGGGAAAGGGCGGAACCGTGAGGGGAAAGGGGCGGGCTCAGGCCAAGGGCGGTAACTGTGAGGGGACACTCTGGGAGGCGGCACTCTGCGAACAGAACTGCAACGGTCTGAACATGAACGGTAAGGAAAGTTGTAAGTCTCGGAATTTTATTTGCTGTCAAATACATGTTGCTCAGCCAGCCCATAACAATCCACATCCCTGAGGTTGAGCAGCGCACGAAGCACTGCCCGCACTCGGGGCACTCGCTGGGCTTCCCTCACTGGTGCCTTCGTTGTTATCACGTCAAATTAGAGCACTGTGAGAAGCTCTTCCCACACTGGGGACACTCGTAGGGCCTCTCCCCTGTGTGGATGCGCTGGTGGGTGATCAGGTGGGACTTCTGCCTGAATCCCTTCCCACACTCAGGGCATTGGAAGGGTCTCTCCTCTCTGTGAATCCAATAGTCCTTTAGGAGATGGGTGCTGGTCAGAAACCTCTTCCTGCATTTGTCACACTCGAAGGGCCTCTCCCCTGTGTGGCTCCTCTGGTGCTTGTTCAGGGCGGAGCTGTGGCTGAAGCGCTTCCCACACACAGAACACTCGAAAGGCTTTTGCCCAATATGGATCCTCTGGTGCAGGATCAGGTGAGAGCTCTTAATGAAGCTCTTCCCACTTCCCCCACACTCGTAGGGCCGTTTCCCCAGTGTGGATGCGCTGGTGGTTGACCAGGTCCGATCTCCATCTGAAGCTCTCCCCACACTCCCCACACGTGTGGGGCTTCTCCCCATCACGGAGCTGCTCACGGAGCACCAGCTCCAAGTCCCACTGTTCCCGGTGTTTGGGGTCCCAAATTCCCCCAAACTCCCCCAAGTTTTGGGGTCCCAGTGTCCATTTTTGGGGGTGCCCGTGCCCGTTTTTGGGGTGCCCCGTGCCCATTTTTGTGGTCCCTCCATTCCCATTTTTTTGGGTCCCAAGTTCCCCCAAGTTCTCACAAATTTCGGGCTCTCTGTGCCCATTTTTGGGCTGCCTGTGTCCATTTTTGGGCTCCGTCCATTCCCGAATTTGGGGTCCCAAATTCCCCCAATTTTCGGGATCCTAGTGCCCATTTTTGGGGTGTCCCGTGCCCGTTTTTGGGGTGTCCCATGCCCGTTTTTGGGGTGTCCCGTACCCTGCTCCAGCGCACGCCCCAGCGCGACCCGCCCGGTTCTGCCGGTGGCTCCGAAGATCGCGATCTTCATCCCCGGTGCCGTGAATCGAACCGAACCGGACTGAACCGCACCGAACCGAACCAGACGAAATCGAACCGGACCGAACCGAACCGGACTGAATCGAACCGAACCGGACCGAAGCGAACCGATCCGGACTGAATCGAACGGAACAGAACCGAACCGAACCGCACCGAACCGGATCGAACCAGGAACGGGATCAAGATCGGGATCCGGGATCGGGATTTGGGATCGGGACCGAGACTCGAACCGGGACCGCGATCGGGACCGGAACCGAGACTGAAACCGGGATTCGAGATCGGCACCGGGAGCTCCGCGATGGCTCCGAGGAGTTTTGGGAGGGAACTGGGCGGGAACTGGGAGGGACTGGGAGGAACTGGGAGGGACTGGCGGTTCGCTCGGTTCCGGTGCAGCCGCCCCTGTCGGGATGGTCCCGGTCCGTATATGATCCCAGTCCATATTTGAACCCAGGCCGTATTTCAGCCCCGTCTAAATAATCTCAGTCCATTTTATCCCAGTCTATACAAACCCAGTCAATATTAGATCCCAGTCCATAGTTTATCTAAGCCCATATTTGATCTTAGTCAATATTTGATCCCAATCCATTTGATCCCAGTCCATATTTCATCCCAGTCCATAAGATCCCAGGCCATAATTGATCCCAGTCCATAAAATCCCAGGGCATATTTGATCCCAGTCCAAATGATTCCAGTCCGTATTTGATCCCAGTCCATATTTGACCCCAGTCCATTTTTTATCCCAATTCATATTTGATCCCAGACCATATTTGAGCCCAGTCCATATTTGATCCAAATCTATTTAATCCCACTCCCTAATTGATCCCAGTCCATATTTGATTCCAAACCTTATTTAATCCAAGTCCACATTTGATCCCAATCTATTTGATCCGAGTCCACATTTGATCCCACTCCATATTTAATCCCAGTCCACATTTGATCCCAGTCCATATTTAATCCCAGTCCCTAATTGATCTCACTCCATATTTAATCCCAGTCATTATCGTCCTGCACACATTCCAAAAGTCTGGAATTCCAGCTCCCAACCTTGAAGGCAAATGGAGCAAAATCCTACAGAGACATTTCCCTGCCAGCCCTCAGGACTGCAGCTCCTGGGACTGGGAATGAAAATATTAACCAGGAAATATAATAATAAAAAATCAGGGGAGAGTCGGTGGGGACAGAGGGGTCAATGAAATCAGGCAAGGGGTCAATAAAATAAGGCAAGGGGTCAATTAAATCAGCAGAGGGGTCAATTAAATCTGGTAAGGGGTCAATTAAATCAAGCAATGGGTCAATTAAATCAAGCAATGGGTCAATTAAATCAGGTAAGGGGTCAATTAAATCAGGGCAGGGTCTCTGGTGGTCCCAGGGTCAAGGGAGACACTGAGAGAGAAACAGAGTAGGCAAAGAGAGGCAGGAGAGAAAAGGGGACACGAACACAATGAGCTGAGCAGGCGGCACTGTGCAAACAGAACTGCAACGGACTGAACATGAACGGGACAGAAATCTGTAAGTCTGAGAGTTTTATTTGCTATCAAATACACCCCACACGCCCAGCCCCACACAATCCCCACCCCACTGCTCTAATTGAGATCCCACTACTGTCAATCACAGGCTGGCTGTAGAATCGAGGATAATTCGTACGGCATGGAGTTTTTCTCAGGAGGGATTGAGCATTCTGGGGCAAGCCTGAGCTGTTTTCACTGGGATTTGAGTCGTTTTGAGGTGACAGATTCATCTCTCTTGGCTTTTGGACTGCAAAGAGATCGAGAAGAGAAAAAAATTAGGGTGATATTAACAGGAGAAGCAGCCAGGTGTGTTCCCAGCATGGATCACAGGGAATGTGAGTGACCAGGGCTGTGCCCAAAGTGCCTCCTCCGGTGGGGGATGGAGCTGGAGCAGCGCACGAAGCTCTGCCCGCACTCGGGGCACTCGCAGGGCTTCCCTTACCGGTGCGTCCGTTGGTGTTGGGTCAAGTTGGAGCGTCTGGAGAAGCTCTTCCGACACTGGAGACACTCGTAGGGCCTCTCCCCAGTGTGGATGCGACAGTGGGTGACGAGGATGGAGTTGTACTTGAATCCCTTCCCGCAGTCGGGGCAGCGGAAGGGCCTCTCCTCTGTGTGAATCCGATAGTGGTAGAGGAGCTGATAGCTGGTCCGAAACCTCTTCCTGCATTTATCACACTCGTACGGCCTCTCCCCAGTGTGGATGCGCTGGTGGGTGATGAGGTGGGACTTCTTCTTGTATCCCTTCCCACAGTCGGGGCATTGGAAGGGCCGCTCCTCTCTGTGAATCCAATAGTGCTGGAGGAGATTAGAGCTGCTCTGAAACGCCTTCCCACACAGGGAACACTTGTAGGGCCTCTCCCCAGTGTGAGTCATCTGGTGCCTGATCAGGCTGGCCCTCTGGCTGAAGCTCTTCCCACACTCCCCACACTCGTAGGGCCTCTCCCCAGTGTGAATCCTCTGGTGCCTGATCAGTTCGGAGTTCCACCTGAAGCTCTTCCCACACTCCATGCAGCTGTGCGGCTTCTCCCCATCACGGAGCTGCTCACGGAGCACCAGCTCCGAGCTCTGGCTCCATCTCCGGCCGCCTTCCCGGCCCAGGCCGCCTCTTTCCCCCTCACATCCCCGCCAGCTGCCTTTGCAGCCCCTCCTCGTGCGGCATCTCCGCGCCTTTTCCTCCCCGTTGCCTTCCTGCGCCGTGGAGCCGCTCAAAACGGCCTCTTCCACCAGCTCCTGCCGCGGGCATTTCTCCTCCCTGCTCTCCATGCTCAGCTCCTGCTCTGGGCGAGGAAGGACAAGGACACCATGCGATTTGCCTCCGTGCCACAGCCGAGGGCAACGAGATCCCCCCGGGGCGTCCCGGGCAGGACGGCACCGCCACCCCCCGATGTCCCCCCGAGGGGCCTTTTCCGCTCAGCCTTGGACTTCTTCATTCTCCAAACATCCCCCCAAAAACCCAACCCAGGGACCCCCCGGGATATCAGAGCCGGGCTCCCCCTCCCTGCTCACCGGCGCGATGCGGGGCCGATGATCCCACAGGTGGGGGCTGCGAATTCAGGCAGGGTCGACCGCGGGGATCCGTCCGCTCAGCCTTGATCCGCCTTTGTCCCTCCTCTTCCTCTTCCTCCTGCTCCTCCTCTTCCTTTCCCCCTTCCGCTCCTCAGCCTTAACTCCGCCTTCTTCTCCTCTT